ATACGCGGATGTTTTACTTCTGATGTGGTTTAATTGAATTAAATATATATTGATAAATTCGCTCGTAAGTTAATGTAGTGATAGGATGCGTAAGTCACGTCACGTGATCTGCGAAATTTTACGAGATTTTTGCACTTCCGGGTACAACAACAATGGCACTTTCGATTTCGTACTCTGCCAACTATGGGAATAACCAGATTAAACTCACTCGGAAAAGCGAAGCATCTGTCGGAAGTGGCAGAGTGCTTCGTTTCGTAATAGATGAGATGCGGATGATATCAGCATGCGTGCAAGCATCAATGAAAGACACCTCATACAGTGTTCAGTTGAGTAGCAAATATTTTCTCAAATTCACGATTTACGCTGTTTTGTTAAGAGTTCGCGAAAACTTTATATCCGATAAGTATTGGTGTTTTATGTAACTTCTGTCGGGAATAAGGCTCTGGGTAGTGAGAGGGAATTTATATATAAGAACCATCCACTTCAACTATCTTCCTTTATTGTCCTCCTAACATATGAGAGTTACAGTAAACAAGGGAGGTAATCATGTACTACAGTTATCGGAGTTACCTCCCCTTTGACCATCTGTGGATGGTTTACATACAGCTACCTATATGTGTATACATAACCCAAACCCCCTATTTTTTGCCATATAGGGAAAATCATATTTGATTATGAATACATGACAAAAAGTATTTTGGTAATTACAATTCATAAGGTAATGTAATGCATTAAGTACAAATCAAACCAATGTGGAGAAAATAATTCATACAGTAACAATCGGATAAATACAAAAGGACAATTACATCGGAATGAAATAGAAAATATTGCAAAGTCAAATAATTGAGTGTTAATTAATTTGTAAATAATTTGCTTTTAAAGAGTATTGGAGTGTGTTGAACAGGTTTCAAACAAATACACAGTGAATTAAGTTTCAGCAGACGTTGGATAAAATGCCGCAGACGGAAAATGATTGGACACATATTGAGACAGGACAGAAACAACGACTACAACGTTGCCCTAACCTGGGCCTCAGAAGGGAAGCGGAAAAGAGGAAGACCGAAGATGACGTGGAGAAGAACAGTGGAAAGAGAGAGAGAAGAAGCAGGCTGGAAATCCTCGAACGAGGCGCGGACAGTGGCAACAGACCGGTAGAGATGAAAGCGTTCTGTGAAGGCCTTATGTGCCACGAGGCACGAAGTGAATAGGTAACAGGTAACAGACGTTAGAATTCAACACTCCAGTGCCATGGTACTTAGCAATTACGTGTACAGTTAAATTCCTTGGACATAATTGTAATTATACAAATGGAGGTGGTTTCACTTGAATAGCCTTGAGGGCTTTCTGGTTCAGAGATGACGGCCTAACCCTAATGGCGTTTTGGGCTGGTTCTCCACACAACTGTACTAAGTACTTTATACCACCATCATCTTGCTTTCTGGCAAGAACATGTTTGATTTATGGTACCATCACTATCTGAGGAAAGTGACAAATGGGTATCCGCTAAAGGATTAACGTGGTCACTATCGCAAAAGCGTACAGCTTTCTGACGAACACGAGCTGGACGTACATTTGGAGGAGAAACTACAGAATCATCAGCTGAGGTTGACCAATTGTCTAACTGTGGATCTGTCTCTGTTGACAGGTCCGTGACGACACCCGTAGTCTGCACACCAACATCCACTGTTGTTACTGATCAATTTGATATGGTGACAGTGAAAAATGAGTCTGGTGTAGGCTCGCGAACATAAGCAATTTTTAGGCGATTCACATGAATAGGTGGAGGTAATGTTTGTTTGGTAACAGGATCCCTCAATATCACCAAGTGCGGTGAATGAATTTTGTGGACAAGATGTGGTTCTGCATACTGACATTTCAGTTTCTGACAAACTCCCATTGGTGGTTTATGGAGGAAGACGAAGTCGTGTTCCAGAGGTTTCGTGTTCGTATTAGCCCTTTCCAACATCCCAGCTTGCGCACGGACGATGTTAGATTTCATTTCAGTACGAATGATTTCCAGGCGGTGCTCTTGACTTCTCATGAATGCATGCATGTTATTAGGTAGCGTTTTAAAGTCTGGTGGGTTTACATGGGTAGAAAGCGGATATTTTGGCCGTTGTCCGAATAACACTTCGTATCCTGTTGAACCATTCACAGACATATTAATGGCAAAAGGCACTGATGTAAAGACATCCTCCAAATGTGTACGACCTTGCTTCATATACGGAGTAAGCTTGGTAGCTATTGTTGCGCGAGTCCGCTCACAAGCACCTTTATATCCAGTGAAATGGGGTTATAAATTATATATGTATATATTTAACAATATCAAATCAAAATAACACAATGATATCAGGAACGCCCTATCATACGTCCCACATGGTATCGAACAATATCAAAATAACACAATAGTATCATGGACGCCCGATCATACATCACAGATGATATCTAATACTATCAAAATAACACATAATATCATGGACGCCCTACCAAATGTCACAGATGAGATATCACAATGTCAAAATAACATAAAATCAGGGACGCCCGATCAAACGTCACAGATGATATCTAACAATATCAAAATAATACATAATATCAGGGACGCCCTATCATACGTCCCACATGATATATCATAATATCAAAATAACACATAATATCATGGACGCCCTACCATACGTCATAGATGAGATATCACAATATCAAAATAATACATAGCATGGACACCCGGGGGTGTCATATCATGTTTGTATCCCCCATCCTAAAGTATCCGGGAATACTTTTTTGTCCATCAGAAATGTATTCCCCCTACACTAGGAGGGGGTACATTCATGACGGTTATCAGAATAGTATCTAGAGAACAATTATCTGAAATATTAGGAAGGAGATACATTTATGAAAGTCATTAGAACAGTATGTAGGAGGTATTTTATTCCGAAATATTATGGAGAGGGGCATATAATAATTCTATACTGTGTGTTCTTTTACTTTAAAATGTTCTGCATCTCTTTGGAAGTCAAATTCAGTAGTACCCATACTTTGTGCCATACACGTACCTCCCTTTACACTTAATGTAAAAGGCCAAAGACCATATAGTTCCCCTCTGATAAATGATTACTCAGAAATGTAACTGGTCAGAATCCATCATCCTGGAAGCCTTGAATCCTTGACAGTTTACTGATAACAATTACAATGCATACAAGTTTGGCTCAACAAGATGATATAACTTCTTTGTTGATTTACATATCGGTGTGGCGAGGAAATGAAACTCGGGACAAAGTTCATAATTATTTTCGTTTTAATGCACCGACGCGAAATCCTACAGAGTCGAGGAAATCAGTCACACATGCGCATACGAAAAATACACACCATCACTACTGCACCATTGTCAACCTAACCAGTTTCTATTTGACAACAGTAAATACGTACACCCGCCTGCGCCGACGCCCAGCAACAGAATGAATAGTTGGAGAGACCGAAAGCCGTAAGAGGCGTGACGTAAGCAGATGTGGAAATGCATTAAGCATGCAATGCAAGTGAATCTGATCAAATGCTGAGCCTCCACTGGCATGCATACAAATCAAGAGGGGCTGTGTGCGCCCCCTGGAGATCTGCCATTGTCCATAATTCATTTATGGATATTAACAAATGATTTATGGATACGTAAAAGGGATAATATATGAATATCCATAAATGAATTTTGAATTTTTAATGAAATTACTCTTTAATATTCATAAATGAAACAGAATCATTGATATCCATTAATACATACCGTGTGTATTAGAATTATTTATGGATATCCATCAATTGATAAATGGACATCCATTAATAGTGATTTTTTTTTCCCACTTGCGCTTTCCGTGCATCCATGCAGTATCATGAAGCTCTGTTTCAGCACTGGCCAGATTTTATTCCGATCTCTGATTCTTGATGTTATATTATTAGGTTGGCTTAGGTGATCTCTCTCACTGACACTTCAATACAAGACTGGTGTTAGGGGAGATCAAAATAAGACGAGAAAAATAAGTAAATAAATATGATATAACACAGATGATATTCCAAAACCATCATCAAAATTAGCATCTCTCTCTCTCTCTCTCTCTCTCTCTCTCTCTCTCTCTCTCTCTCTCTCTCTCTCTCTCTCTCTCTCTCTCTCTCTCTCTCTCTCTCTCTCTCTCTCTCTCTCTCTCTCTCTCTGTGTTTCAGATGTATTCAGTAAAATATGAAATGTAATAATCTACAGAGTAATGAAAAATAAATCTATCACTAAGATTTTCTCTGTGTTTTAATCAGCGTTTTGATGCATTGTCATGGCTGGGTCAATGCATTTTTGCACTTTCCAGACCTATTTCAACTTACTAACAAAAGTGCTGGTTTATTTGGTTATAGAATGAATACAAATAGCTACGAAAAGGAGACACATTCGTTTGTTGAATAATATCTTAAATCTGTTGTTCCATAATGCATCCACTAAGTATTCACTTGTACATTGGATGAATAGATATCAATTCTTTCGATTTTAAACAAGATTCTAACATAATATTATAACGTGCACCTTTTGGAGAATAATGTCCAACACTCTTTTTTAAAAAAAATTGTTTATTATACGTAACTATTTTTGTATGAAGACTGTTTTTTTTTCAAAATAAGAATATACTGAGAATAAACGCCATTTTTTAAATATAAAGTCGTCAAACACAACATTACCTTTTTCTCACTTTTATTTGATTCTTGATTTAAAAAGACAAACTTTAAATTGCCATTTCTTGATTGAAAGAACATAATAATATTTAAACAAACACAAAAGAAATGAGACACGTGTTAAATTAATTTGATCTACCGAAATACGTGAACGGTGATATTAAATGGTATTTATCCGGATTTATCCTTATCCGACAACGGTTAAAGTTGTATATTCTAGTTTCCATCCAAATCAATACTGCGCTTGACGAGAATATGCGTGTTAATTGGAGCACTTTCCTGACAACGATTTTAAAGTATTGTTTTCTTTTGAACAACTCTACCATAACCAGCCAATGAAAGTGGTAAGTAACTATATATACATTTCTGTTGTAGTGAGCGTTTAAATAATACATTTTGCAGAGCAGTACTTGTTCGTACTATTGCGATTGTGTCATGTAATCATGCTAGAGCTTTACAAACACTGTTAATTCAGAACTAATGCAAAAGGTGTCAAAGCGCGAAACACCTGATACAAGTTGAAACAGATCGCACGTTCATAATTATTTTGTGTTTGTAACTATTCACTTCATTTGTTTTTTGTTCAGCTGTTTTGCTAAGCTCTATCTAGTGCACTATGAAAGTAATAAATTGAAGTAAATGTGAAATAGTCAATGCAAGTACTTTGCATAAAAATCCCTGCCCAACATCGTCACTTTGACTCAGAGATACTTCTTTACATTTCGTAATTAAGATGTTCACCTTGTAAATATTTTGTATTGATAATATTAACATAATTGAAAGTATGTAATTGTACATGTAATTTGTCTTTAGTTGATATATACCATAACAATTTTCGATTTTTTAAAGGTGTGAACTGGCTGCAAAATGGTCTTCAAAAGATCAGAATATGGGAGGGTATTCAAGGTCCAAAATCATGTAAAAAACATACCCACATACTATGACAATTTAACATACAGGAATCAGCGTCGAGAACTTGAAAGCGCCCACACATCAATAGCATGGGTTGAGTCTGACAGTAGTGAAGAAACAGCAGAGAAAGAAATTTCAAAGGAAGAAATAAAAATAGCAGAACCACCAAGTGCTGCTGTTCCTGTCTCTGACAAACAACAAAAGCCTGAAAAGGAATCTGTTTGTAAGTCTGAAGAAAAAATTCAGGGTGGAAAAACTACAGAACCTTCCCAAGAAAGCAAAGATGAGTTAGATATTAAGAGGCAGTCCAAAGAAGAAGAGCAACTGAAGAAAGATGCAAGAGGAAAGCTTGCCAAGTACACAAGTAAAGAAAACACTGATGTACCAGGACGCAAAATAAAAAATGTTGATCAGAAAGCAAAAGAGAGAAAGGAGCATGGTAAAATTTGTGTTCAATAATTCCAAAGTACAACTTAATTGTCTTTATTTGAGTATTTTGTGTAAAAATCTACAGAGAAAACATCGGAAAATATAAACGCTGTAAATGATGTTACTAAGGAATAAAAGGCACATGATGTTGCTTTATCAAATTTGTGTGTACATATATATGTATGCATGCATGTAAATAGTTTATGATTAAATTCTTGCCATTGACTTTATGCTTTGTGGAATATTAATGTAATTTCCTAGCTTTCCAAATAGAATTTCAAATTTTCAATTTACAGTGAAGCATTTAAACTTCAAATAATCTACAAAATTATTACTGCCATATATTCCAGTTCACTTTTGTGTATATGTTTTCAACCAGATTCTTGTATGTGGATCAATAAACGTATGAATGCATGCAAAATGTACTACTGTATAATTTGCATTGTAAAAATTTGTGATATGATTGAAATATAGATTATTTCACATTTTCACAGAAAAGCCTAGCTTTAATCTCCGACCAAAGAAAGTTGATGATAAAACATTTGTCAACAAAGTGAATATTCCAGTGAAACCTGGAGTGTCTAAATCAAGATCAGGTGCACGTCCAAAGTCTGCTCCCTCTGCCAGGCAGTCTGAACCAGCTAGGCCAAGACCACCATTCCTACCTTATGGTTGTGGTGACTCCGAGAGGGTGACAGGAACACAGAGAAGCCATAATGTTCTGGCTTCAACAGATGTGAGTGGTATCTACTCTCTTTAATTCATCAGATATGCCATCACTGAATCATATTTTAAGGCAAAGTGATCACATTTATCATTTGTAACTTTTGAATCACTGATCTTTGATTCACATTTATCAATATAAATCTTAAAGAATTACAAACAGCTGCCTGAGGTGAATATTTAGAGCCAGAATATTCAAGCTCATTATCTTTTCCTTCTTTTATAGGTTTATCCTGCAGCAATAAAAGCTCATAAAAAGCACGTTGAAGAATCAATAAGACGCAAAGATGCAAATGTAAAAGCTGCTAAGGAGGCAAAGAAAAGGAGACAGTTATTTAGAGACAAAATGCTTCGCGATGCTGCATTCTGGAAATCTGAATATGGCTTCAGGTATCCTGCTCATCCAACATCAGAGTATGCAAAGAACTGTGATAAGCCAAAACGTTGTAGAAGTGCATTTGGACTTGTGTGAAGTTTTTCTTTTTGAGATCTGATAGATATTTTCTCTGTAGATTTAGACACATTGCTAGAGCATTTAAGGTTAGAAAAAAAAGTTACATGGTGTCTTTTGGCTGCTGATCACTGACTATAAGAGAACAGAAAGAATTTTTGAAATAGTTTTGTAAAAATTGGAGAGTTTTAAAAAAAATGTTTATGTACACTGTATATCATTGTTTCAACAAGTTATTTTAAGTGTCATTAGTAAATGATTTATATACAAAATAATGTTTTTATCAAAATTGTATGTAAGCATTTTTTTGTGGTGAAGGCGTTACATGGACATAGTGAGTGCCATGATATTTGTACATATGTGTTATTTACATCGTAGTCAAATATTACTGTGATATCAGCTGTTTCATATTGTTTTGTTGAAAGTTTGTGTTACTTGGAAAATATTTATGTGTACAAGTTTGTTAGTTCGTTAAACTGTTTGTTAGTGTGTATGAAAGTGTGTGAATCTGATCACAAATTTATAGATAACTTGATTTATAGATAACTTGATGGCATCAAAGTTTCGTGATGATTTAAATTCCATAGGGCTGTATATTGTACCATAGAAGATCTTCAGGTCTGTACACTTATACATAAACCAGGTGAGAACAGTTAAATGGATCAGTGTTAAGGTAAATTTTAGAGGCTTTGATAAGTCATTTGACATTTCAAAATCTGAATATTTATGAAACTTTCTAGAGATGGATAACATGATTCGAAAAATGATCTTTGACAAATGTTTTAAAGGTCACAAACTTAGTAAGGGGGTCTAATCTCTAACCTACCAATTAAAGCACATGGTGTTTTGTTCCAGACAGTTATAACAGTGCATCAATCTACACATGGTAAACAGAGTTTACAAAAAGAAGGGGGGGGGGTGTCAATGTACGAGTACATAGTTCTTTTATTATTGTCATAGAACTTTTGTTGAGCTAAATGAATATTGTTTTAATCAGTCAATATAACAAAGAAAATCAACAGGCCTGAGGTTACAGCTAAAACGTTAAGAGATTGCTGAAAAGTGAATTGAAATTGTAATTCTAACTGAAAATCCAGGAAACTAGCATAAAATATTTAACAAACATGAGTTTCATAAAAATAAAATTGCATTCTATAATGCTCCTTACAAAAACTACAATACTCATTTGTCATTTTGTGTGATCAGATATGTGATGTAAATGTACATGTTTTATGTGTGTAACATATACTTCAGTGAAGCTAGAGGCTCGTTTTCCTTTTCTTTGATATAATAGTGTAGTCATTGGAAAGAAAGTGTAAGGATTGATGCCAGCCATTATTGTTATAAGTAACTGAAGAATATGACATTGAATGCCAATTAACTGTGATATATCAAGAATTTTGTCAAAACACAAAACAATGTTTTAGAAATATTTGGAAACAAAGACTTGATCTTAACTATAAATTTGAAGTTTATTTATGATAATCATATACATGATGAACAGTCCTTTCAAAGTGTTATGTCGCCCGTTTTTTATTCTAAGTTATCAAAGTTCAATGTGTAGAGGATAAAGTGTAAGTATAGAGTGTCAGGTGAGTGGTCTGCCTGTATTCAACATGCTCACTTAAGGTGAACATGTCAGATCATTCTGGCCAGTTTATACCACAATGTACAACTGAAGGATACAGAATTTGTCATGGGTATAATGTGATCTTCATTTAACAGGAAATCACTCATTTTTGTCATGCATCTAAAATATGTATATTTGTAAAGATTTGATTGAACAGATTCATGCAAAGAACTGTATGCGTACATGTATATATATATGTGTAGAGTGTTGTATAAGTCAACATTTATTTACATACATGTGTGTATATATAGATGTCTTGTGATCAGCAGAATTTATGAGAAATTTACGCCTAAACAATATATCAAACTCAGGACCTCATTTCAATTAAAACTTATGCTGGGATGAATTTTTCAAAACTAACTCCATGGAAATTTGCTGATAAATATTAACAAATACAACACCTGTAGTAGAAATTGAAATATAAACTTTGCCATTTATTTTAGAAAATATTGACTATTTATTGTTAGCTAAGCTTGACATAATTGTATAATAGGTATGTACTTCACAATGCAGCTATTTTAATGCTAAATAATTACTGCTGGGTACAATAAAATCATTATATAACATGGCTGTGTTAATATCTATCTATTATTGTAAGTGTAAGGAAATTTTAAATCTTTTTCCTGAATATTCATTATATATTTGACACCTATCTCTATATCTATTTCACCTTTGCCTATAAATATCATGATTATATCAATAAGCATTGATGTCGCATACATGACCCTAGTTTTCAAACCATTTTGATTGGCTGATTTATAGAATTAGTTTCCTATAAATTTTTGTGCTTGTGAGCTGGACTCTTTGTGGCTTTCTGTCAGAAAAGTTTGGGAACTTGTACACAGCTTTTGCTTAATGCATCTGTCCAATGGCTTCTGGAGCATATTTGATGCAAGGACATAAGTCATACAGATATATGATATAGGTACATCACAGAATCATTTTTTTTAAATGAGGTTACTGGGACATACTCAAACTTTCATCTAAGGTTGAACAGTCTCTAGAGAATATTTTAACCATTCTCAAATGTATGGCTTATGCCTTTGTATGTGGAGGTACAGCATGAGAAATTGCGGTGTTATGTACCATAATGGGATCATTATGATGTGATTTGACCTTTGACCTCGAGTACAAATACTTGTATAAGGTTTCCAGTCTACACTAATGGCATTACTACAGGCATACTGCTTGTTGTAAAAGCATGTTACAGGCCCAATATCAAGACCCTTGGCCTTTTGGTTATTGAGAAGAAGTTGTTTACTCATTTCAACACATTTGACACCTGTGACCATGACAGTAGGTTAAGGTGAACAAACTTGGTAGCCCTTCATCCCAGCATGCTACAAGCCCAATATCAGCACTCTGGGCCTTAATTTTATTGAGAAGTAGTTGTTTAAACATTTTAACATATTTGACCCCTGTGACCTTGAAAGTGGATTAAGGCTATCTATATTAACAAACTTGGTAGCCCTTCATCCCATCATGTTGTAGAAAATGTAGTCAGATGACCTTTAAGACCAGAGGACCTCTTGTCTGAAGTACCTTGATTACCTCTCAGAATCAACTAAAAAGTGCCATTTGTATAATATGCATTTCATTCTATCCTCTACAGCTCTTTGTGAACAAGAAATTTGTGTATATGAAATGACTGAAAGATTTGGTCAATTCAGAAGTCGATATTACCTGATCTCCCAAATATGCCACTACAGTATGCTGATCCAAGGGAATACGCAAGCAAAATTGCAAGTAGCAGAAGATTATCTCTTGTTTATCATACCTATTTACAAACAACATCCATTCAGGAAAATTCCTTGGACTTCACGAAATGAAAACCAGATTCATGAAAAAAATAAGTAACATTTATATTTATTCATAAAAAACCAATGATGTACAATAATTCATACATGGATATATTAATATTTCTGATGAAATTGGACTTCTAACAATTTCACAATGAACATTTAAGCAAACATTAACTGTACATATCTCTACAGAAATTTCTGACATATAATTGGTACAATTAGGATGTTTACACACAGAGAACCACTTGTCATCCTCGCATGAAAAGAAATAAGGAGATTCCAGAATGACCAGCTACAGTAACATTTATTAGTATAATATACTTTTTACTGTAGAAATCAAAACACAGGTAAACAACAATAATAAATACAAGGGTCAATTGTGAAACGTGAGAACCCCAAGTCGACCCCTTTATTGTAAAATTTGCAGTTTTTCCCACTACATAATCTGATTAATGATATGGTGAAGACTGATAAGAACTATATATAGTCAAGTCTCTTTAAATGTAACATTGCTAATTTGTACTATAAAATCTCTAAATCATGTGGTAAAGGAGTATTTGTAAGAGAATTAGCAAAGAGAAAGCTGGAGGTATGTACATGTTAACATTTAATTAAGGATTACTATAATTCAGCATTACAGCCAAAATTTAACACCAACAATGCTGTTATAAACTGATTTTACTCTGCTATTTTAACTTGATATCTGGAAAAACAGGTAAATTTTCATATTTAAAAAAAAGTTTATATATCTGAACTCATTAGATTTTTTAAATGGAAATTCATGTATTATAAGCATGTACTTGGAAGTCATGTAAGGACAGATGATTCATAGCTTTAAAAAATTCATCTTAAAAGACTGATCCATTTAGTGAATGTTACATAATATGCTTCAACTAAAGTTGTACCTTTATATAAATTTTAATTGTAGTGAAGACTATTTTAACCTATATTCACACAAACAGTTTTATCCACTCTAACAGACTATACATTTTAACAAAACATTTTACATGCACTGACTGGTTAGAGGATAGACACGTTCAAGATTCTATTAGAATCAATATAAGCATATATATAAACTTGCTTGTTATATAATCTTCTCAATCATTGCGTGTCAAAATTCCACAGGATATCTTAAATCATATGAAGCACCTTTACACAACAATATTGTAATACCATTGTGATCATACCACATACATGCATGCATAAAAAATTTATTAACTGGGGATTGAACTTCAAAAACATTTTTTTTTAGGATATACATACCTGTAATTCAATTTCACAGCGAATTAATTTTAAAACCAACTTTTTTTCTATTAGCATTAACAACTATCCTACAATAAGCAGGGGCACTACCTCTGACTCGGAGTCAATGGGGGCCTGGTGAGCTTACTACAGACCAATGAAACAGTATTTGTTAATAAAACATGTACATGTTCAACTAAACAGCAATTTATATGGATGGGCTTATTGTCGGATACATACAGTACTATAATAGTTATGTAATTGAAAGTGAAAAAGGCCTTGAACACAAGGGGGGAAATTCTTTCAGACGAAGTTAGTCAAAAGATTCTCATCCTTGGATTGGCGTAATTTACATTTCAATTGGAATGTTTCAAATATGGAGTGGCCAACAAACAGCAAAGGTGACAAATTTATTTTTTTTTAAATCAAAATTGATATTGAGCGTGATTATGATTATATCTGCATTCAGCTAATGTTATAATTGTTCCTTTGAAACTTCATAGACAGTTTCATTTCAGAACATGATACTGTAAAGGTCTTACATACAATGAAATGTTCTAAATTCAACACTTTCTGAAGTAGTGAGAAAAGAAAAATGTGAAATAAATAACAGATTTACATGAAGCTAAAATCATAAACGTAAATCATAAAAGCAATGAAAAAAAATCATGTCCAATTTGTATTAGCATGTTGACAAATTTGAATATGTTCATATCAAAGTCTTACTGGATTAAAGCTTGACTAGAGAATGATTGTAATGAATAACACTTAAACCAAAGAATACCACTTAAACCAACAATCTCACACTGAATCATACACAGAGAGATGATCAAACTGAATACATCCCCAACCTGTCAACTATTTGGTTTTCTTCTACAACTCTACCCAAAAGTAATCATTTATAGAAAACAGTAATACATGAAAACACCTGCTTAGTTTAATAATAATTTTTTGAAGGTTAAATAGATGAAATACAAAAAAAAATCTGTACAGGCTGTTGATGTTATTGCCCCATACAAAAAATTGATAAGACTCAATATGTGAGAAAATGTTGCTTTTCTTTTCTTCAAAGTTTATCTTTCTTTTTCTTCAAATTCAATAATAGCTATATATAACCGGTTCTTGATTGAAATTTTACATCCTTTCAGATCAGTAACATAAACAAATTTATCACCAAAAATTACTTTGAATACACTATTGTAGTGTATACTTAGAACATGACTACATCAACTCTTTATCTACGTAACCTGCACTTGACTATTAGCTAGCCCATTTATCTATTTATTCAAGATAACAAAAAAAATACTCTCCGTACCTCTCATATCATCCATATTGTATGTACATGAACAGTAAAGAATTGAATTTTCATTTCCATTTTTTTTTCGTACAATCACAAATCACGGGTCTTTTAAGACACATTGTCAAATCTGTCAGAGTGGAAAAGATACATAGATCATATTATAAATGAAATACAATTTCTGTCACAAACAGAAAAAATAGTAACAGTACATTCATACCTTTTCCCATGCTCACAACATAGCTTAAATCAATGTCACAAATGATCATCAACCGAAATACCAGTCTGCCAATGTGCCATAAAAAATAAAGACATAAGCGTTTGACCTTCTAGTGAGGTGAAAAATAAAGTGGAAATGACTAAAACAAATAATGCATATCTTGTAGAGGACCTCTAAAATAACAATTTACTAACAACATGTACATTTTGTATTTCCAACAAAGTTACTACCTGTTAAGAGAGTACAAAATATATGTATATAGTAGGATTATCTGTAATTATCACATAATTACCCTGTTACCAGTGTTACAGTTTTTGAGTTGATTTATGACACCTACATGTGGAGGAGCTGTGACTTGCTAGGAGTTCCCTATTGTCTTACTTAAATTTGATACGGAGTCAGCATGTCGTAATTTCATGTTTCATATTACCCACAGGAAACTAAGTTTTCAAATATGTTGGCAAAAAAGCCTAAGACTTGCTAAAGTCAAAATTCCTTACATTTGCCTCGTCAATCTCATAAGAAATGGAAAGGCATTTTCATTTATGGAAAAATGTTCTTGATGTCTAATGGAGACAAATAAATGGAGAGATACATGTAAGAAGAAATGTTGTTGTCAAGGGGAGAGATACATGTATATGGTGAAGAGGTGTTGTCATCCAAGGGAGACAACTAAACAGTGAGATACAAAAATGTACATGTTTGGTGAAGGCTTGTTGAAGGATTCTGCAGCACAATTTAAATGAATTTCATGATTTAATAAAAACACAAGCCAGATGTTTAAATATCTTCAAGAAATACAATATTTTAAGTATACATCACATGAATCTAACATTCTGACAGAGAAGATATGCATGGTACCAACAGGAATCTGTCACAAGTCTAGAATAATTAAACTAGAACACAGGTAACTCTGATCATCAAAATGAATCAGTACAAAACAATAATTACATATACATTTATGTATTTGTATGAGACTCCAATCATTTGCAATGATCTTACACAAGGTTTAATTTTTTCCAGTCATGGAAACTCATATTTAAGCACATCTACTGAAAAAATTGTAAGTTTTATGACAGAGCATACATAAATTTTGATCAAGACTCTTTAAACTTAGCCAATCATAACCCTTTTTCAAATTTGGTCCCAACAGTGCCAAGAGTGATGAAATATCCTGCATGTTCATGACAAATACTCCATTACAATTACTCACTACATCATGACATTGTTTACATACCTCTGGAAAACATTCATTCTACAGATATATATTTGAAGCTAAATTAAAAATGCAAATTGATATACAAATATATTAGGCTTAATTTGAACTGATTATATATACAGTTTTGACCGATGCACTAGATGGCACCTGTAATATCACATATGTTATGGCCTAATCTAACAAAAGTTAGAACTTGTGCCCCATTTTGTTGACTTAATATCCATTTACAATCTGATGACAGTGGAAAATGTCTATCTTCATTAATGTAGTTGCCTTCAACTGGAATAAATTTTTTTTTTTTTTTCTGGTTCCCAAAAGTCCAGCTGGGCAGTCCTGGGACAAGACAAGGAGTGATGGTTTGCGAACAGATAAAATCTGTACATAAAGGTTCTGATCACTAATCTTTTCCTCATATACTTTAGATGTGCAATGTTTTGAAACTATAATCTGCTGATGAAATATTGCAAACAACAGACGGTAAGTAGATTACAAAATGGAGCAATGTTCTCATCACAATTGTTTAAGTTAGATGGTTTGTATGGCTAATGTTAAAATCATAGGAATTGGCAAAAACTATAAACCCCCAGAGTCCGTATCTTAAAATATGTTATCATAATATGCTTATAATACAAATTAACGGACAGAGGGTTTTGTGACAAGTCCATATGGATAAAACTGTTATAAGACAATAATTAATTGATACTACTTAAGTTTGATTACATTCAGTGCATTAAACAATATATGAAACAGACATGTGCTATGCCCTAGCTATCACAACCAAGATATTTACACAAAATTCTCCACTAGTATTGTATGTAAAAGTTCATCAATTTTGACAGTCATATCATCCGGCAATATAATATCACCAAAAGCACTTCATATATCTATGAAAACTACATCTACAATACTAAACCAAACACAACAGTGATATCATCTTTTACCTAAAATTCGACAGGCCTGTGTGCATCATTAACTGCCAGTAGTATGTTTACCAAGATCCAATTAATCGAAATTGAACAAAATGAAAAAAGTTAGCTTTAGAGATATCTCCACATTTAAGTGAAAACTGATGTGAACATGTACATGTGTCAAGCTACATAGTATTTCTGTAGTCTCTAGATTATCTATTTAAATCTAATGTAAGATTAACTCGGGACTTGTTCAGATGACTAAATATCAACAACTTCGAAATTAAATCCATCACATTGCAAGGATAATTTTCCAAAGAAAATCAAATGTTCCTTCAAGCCAGCTATTTGTATGTAATAGGTGACCATCTTTCAACACTTAAAATTCTCTCCTGATGTAAACTGGCTGATGTTAAAATTACAAAAAAAAAACCTGAGTAAATACTAAACAACAATTGGTAGGAAGAGATTCGGAGCCCTAAAACAACATTTTGAAACATTACCTTTTCAAAACATACTTTGAACAGGAAAAACATATTGGTTGCCATGACACAGTAGTTTATATAATATCGTCAAATTACACTGGCAGTATAATCCATTTGTATTTCCTTTCCTAAATACTTGCCACTTGGACTATTATGGGGGGCTCTGTGTGGCTGAATATGAACCCCATTCTCAACTGGATTTATTTCATAGGACCAAATTCCCAAAATTTCTATTTTACTCCTTAAAATTTCATTCCTAACTGATTAATTTTCTTCCTAAAATATGGCCCATTCCCTAATCAATGGAAAATAGCCGTACCAGCACATGACCCCTTGTTGATAGGTTACGTTTTGCAAAATACATGTATTTAAAGACAATAACTTTGATTGGAAATTATGATATACTCTGGTAACTGATTCAGTAATTATCAGACCCATGAAACATTGGAAATCTAAATTTTAGTGTTATTCTAACCATTAATATCAAAACATTGTTTGTATGATATTTAAACACCGCAATCTTACGCTAAAGTCATCCAAAACACCCATCAAAGAATTTACATAATATTTATATATCATATAAAATGTAACCCTATGCTCACTGTTAAAATCTTTCATAATATGAAATATACAAAAAAAGAACAACAATTAACATATATGTTAATATGATGAAATATATAGTTTGATATATTTTATTATGTGATTTAATGCATTAAATGTGAAATACGTTTGTATGTGATGATTTTAATTTCAAATTCAGGTGTTCAGATCTTCATTTTTTTACATATACATATATATGTCTTCTTGTCAATATATACATAGATAAAATGAATTACTTGTTAATCATTGTGTGGCTTAAATATGTAAGACTTGCAAAAGTGTTATAAAGTTATTATAAAGGTTTTTCTTGTGAAAATTCTGTCAAGTCAGAAACATTCTACAGTAGGACTACTTGATATTCACCTTCAAATAGTATTAAATTAACACTCAAAACAGAAATAACTATTCAGGTTGAAAGTAAAAGTACCTGTGTATTGTGTACAAGTATATTTATGCATGAAATTCATTGATATATTTTAAAATGAAATGCCCGACAAATTTGCAATCTTGAAAGAAGATATTTTTTCTATTATAGCTAATATAATCAAGTGTTTTGTGTTTTTTTAATTGATACCAACCATGACCTTTCAATACCATGTATAAATAATGAAAGACAATTTTATACAATCCCTCTTTATAAGGATTATCTTCATACCTATGTTTTTTATTCTAACACCATTACTAAAGTTCCAAAATGTCACAAAAAATATCTCTTGGAAACTTTTGCTGAATTTTAGATATTATTGATGAGACATTCATTAGCAATTTGTTTTCAAAAATACCAATGCTTTCTTTGAAAAACAATTCTTTAATATTAAAGAAATGATCAATGTATAAAGTAATTATCTTCAAATTGATAGATCAAGACAATAAAATTATTTGAATTCTGATGTTTCAACTTTAATAATTAATATCAGGTAATTAGGGTATCATTTTATTAATCAAATTAAAAATTTCTTGTGACAGCATAAGATTATAATACACTTTACTTTACTTGATCACAAGACGGAGAAACTGTAGTTGAATAAAATATTGAGAAGCTCCATCTCAATCCAACTACAAAGGATAAAAAAATGTCTTATTAACTGAAATATTTCCAGCATGAATGAAGGAGTACTTGAGAGATGGATGTTCATATTTTTGTTTCTTCCTTCACATCTCTTTGCCTTCTTCATTTCAATAGTAAAATCTCCATGATGTTTTTCTTTATGGAGATTTTTTTTGTTTATCAAATCAATACCAAAATATTGTGCATTACATGGCAGTTAAAAATTGAATTAATTTTTATCTCTGAAAGAAACCTTTTTTAACGCTTTAATTATACACTGAATGTAAACACTACACATATTTTATGGTAGTCTGTATGTGTATACATTAGTCTGATGGAGGAAACATGTCCCTTTGAAAGGGATTTTAAACAAACACAAATTAACTTAAAACCCAACAAATTTCTCATTTGTATGCCAGATAAAGAATAGGTCTATATATTATTTGTTTTGCAAATCCGCAGCATAACATCAATAGTACATATGTGTTTTACACAGCACTTTTCATACAACTTATCTCAAACATTGCACTTAGCTTACAGAGGGCAGGTGAAGAGTCATTAGCCATACTCTACATTGATAGTCCTAGACAGCGTACAGGGAAGTGTCTACACTGAGGTGCACACATATATATATGCATGGCATGAAATTCAGGAGGTGCATTACTGAGCATCTTACATTCCAACTAAATGGTTACCAACAAAAGCTGCTTGTTAACATTCTCCGTCATTAATGCCGACATGAGTGGTGTCCCTTTACTTGAGTTAATTCCTCTTGTCTCGGGTTGCCTGCCTTGCATGTCAATGATACACCATGAAACATGATGAATGTTCTGCACTTGTATACTTTTAATCAGCAACCACAGTCTGGCTTTTTTTGCTGTAGCTGCTCCTTCTGTAAACGACGCAATGAGGTGTCACCATACTGAATGCCAGACCCCATCCTCTCTGGATCAAGTTCACCTTAAATGTGGATAATATCATGTTAGGAACATTTTGGTAAAACATTCAACCCACACAAAAGCTCCAATATTGCCAAAGGAATCATTGAAAGATGTGATTGATTCATATAACTCTACATCATAACTAATTTTTTGAAGCACTCCGCATGCATAAATATAAATAAGACACATTATCTGTGGGAGCGCCTCCATCAATAAAACATTTTACAGGAATACAGAAAATATTAGTTAAAACAAGGCATTTCAAGGTCATTATTTACATTATGTTATTTATAGTTCAGAAAAATATCTAAAAGTGTGTATCATACAGAAACTAGCTACTTCTTTGTAAACAAGTATTACTCATTATTTCACAGTAAAATATCATTACTGATAACAAAACTAAATGCTGAAAGACATGGTTTGTTATGTAAAATAAGCTCTACTTACCTGATTCAATTTTAGTTAATATAGATCTAGCACATTTCAAAAACGTCTCTTCAATATTTTCTCCAGTCAGGGCACTTGTTTCAAGAAACATGAGATCTGATATGCAAATATAAAAAGAGGACAAAATATGACAGCAAATGTTCAAAGAGTATAATCTTCCACAAATATCACAAAAAAATCATTACCAGTAAATATGGAGATATTTTATTATTCACTAAAATAAGATTCATTAGCACAATGAAATCCTTCATTTAGCAATGATTAACATTTTGTATTTTGAATTCAGAAATTAAAAATGTCTGTAATACCATTTTCCTGAGCAAATCTGCTAGCTTCTAGAAATGTCACTTCACGTTCAGCTTCCAAATCCTTTTTATTTCCCACCAAGATTATCACAATATTTGGACTTGCTAAAGTTCTTGCATCGGTTAACCAGTTTGTCAAGGCATTGTAGGTTTCACGACTGCAAGAGAAGAAAGTAAATAATACTGGAATAACTTGAAGACAATTAACTAACATGTTGATTAATGACATGAATCATTTAAAGTTAAAAAGTGTTTATTCAATACTGTGAACATGCACGTTTTAGCAGTAATCTTGTTTCAGCACATTTTGCATTGTAAGTATTTCACTAAGATATGATGGTGCTAATTGCACTTTCTTTATGCTAATTATATAGCATGGATGCATGAATCTTATGTCATGCTAATTTATGAAAAAAAAATAATGCACTGTTTAAAGTAAAATAAAATATTACTGAAATTTGTGATTCTATAGTATTAACAACAGGCCAGCAGTGTCTAGATAATAAGGGCCAAGTGAGCTAAAAACAATACACTGACCTTGTGATGTCATAGACAAGCAGGGCACCTGCTGCTCCTCTGTAGTAACTGCGGGTTACAGATCTGAAAATTGATTATCAGATAAGTACACAATTGCACATCCTTATGATGTCTAATGCACTGGGCTGATTATATCTGTTATATTTATTAAGTAACACGCTGATCATACTTTGATATGGTAAAGTATTAATCATTACCCTTATACAACACACTGTCACAACCTTAACATGTCATGAAACACACAAATGAATGAACCTTATGATTCAGTACATCAGTATATATCTATGAACTGCTACATAATAGTTATAAACATAGAAACTTCTACCTTTTAATACCTTAAGGTTTGTTCTGTTGGACCCATTTTAAATTTGGTATCTTTCGTTTGGATTTCATACTTAAACCACCTTGTATGGATGAAGAATCCGATTAGAATGAAACACCCTGTTGTTTAGTTTCCCTCGTTTTTTAGTATGCTATACTGATTTCTAAATTTGAAGAACATATTCACTGGTGTGTTTTTGTACAATCATTTTAATTTGTCACCATCTGGTCAAGCCATGACAGCCTTATCAATCTTCAGGCAATCAATTCCTGCTGACCTCACAATTGAACATGAGCTTAGTATACAGTAGATAGCTACAGTGGAGATCAGGTAGAAGAATTCTACCACAAAGACAGAAAATAAACCTATTACAGTCCAACTTCTACGAATCAAACTTTGATGATTCAAATTTCTCCATCTATCAAAGTGTTTGTCTGGTCCCAAATTTTATTCCTACATATTATTACTAAATCACCCCCTTATGAATTGAAGTTTCATAAATTGAATTTTTCTACGTATTAAAGTTTTTTCACAGACCATAAGCTATGATAACATAGTCATTGACACCTCATGGTTCGAACAAAACATTTACTTGTAATGTACAGGTATTTTCGCCCTATGGCAAAATTTCACACTTTCAAGCGAAGAGTGCTACCTCTCAATGGGATTACGATAACCTGCTATCATTAGTTCTGTATTACGGGGTTAGTTAATGACTGGACACAAATTCGAATTTAATTGGTTATTTAAAAGCCAATATCTTTAATCAAAGATAATGGGATGTCATGTGATGTTCATCATCACCATTGTGGTGATAGCATTTAGTTAGGTCTAATTTATGGAACTTCGAAAACAACACTCATTTCCAAAGTGTCACTTTTTAGTTGTAAGCATAAAAAGAAGAGAAACACAGTGATTTATTTGTCAATCATGCGTTCTGCAATAGATTCAGTCTAACTGTCAGCACAACCTCAGCAAACACACCTGTAATTTCTACGGAAGAAGATGTGTGATGTTAGTGCTGTTGTTTCTGGACAGAATATATTGTGATATTAATTTGCTTTCTTTTAAATTCATCAGCCTTAAAATAATAATGTAGCATGTAAAGACCACTGTAATGCTGCACATTGTTTCATTTAAAACTGACTTGTAAAATGCATAAACTGTGTGACATGCAAGGTCAATTTACTGTTGATTTTTATTTAAAGTTCAGTTTTTTTCGTGAATAAAAATGTTTTGTTTAAAGATAAAAATGATTTTTTTCATTTAATCTATGTTTTGGTATTTGTTGTGTTTGTTCAGGTAGAAATATCATGCCATCAACTATATATAGCCATGAATATGAAAATATTGATATGGCCCACCAGGCATGATTCAAAGTCTCGATGTATAAAAGTTTTTGGAAGTTTGTTGAACTTCGAAGCATCAAAGTTTGACTGTATATTCAGTTCCTATAAGAATTGCCTACCTGAACCTCTCCTGGCCAGCTGTGTCCCAGATCTGCAGTTTGACAGATTTCCCTCCAACATTAACAACCTTACTCCCAAATTCTACACCTATTGTGTGGTTTGAATCTTGTTTAACTGTAAGTAAAGAAAATACATCATCAGATAAAGGGAGAAGGATTTGAGGGCTCTACCAAAACCTGCTAGTGAATTCTGTAAACAAAAAACAAAAAGGCAAAATTACATTAATACTATAATAATGAAAATAACATAATTTCTGCAATGATTTTACAAAGGAAATAAGTAATTTTTCAAATTTGAACATCATAATTATTAATTCTATAAATGCAGATTAATACAACAAAACTTGTATCTGCCTTTTATTGAAATACAGGAAATAGTAATTTTAACTCACATTTGTTTTCTATAAATTGATGCAGAATACATGATTTTCCAGCTCCTGCACTTCCAATCACCAGAAATTTAAAGAGGAAATCTGAAAATAAAAGCAGTCACATAAATAAATATGAAAAGCATCCCAATCCAGTCAACGACTACATTTACCACTTTGTAAATATGAAATCCTAGTGAAATGTCATGGCCAACATTTCTACAATCATAATGTAAACCTAATAACATTGTAATAGGATAGAGTAAGGTAAGGCTAGTATGTCGATCTGTACTCCAAACTTCTTCACTATTCCCTCCTTTACAGTCTTTGACAGTTAAGACATGGTCAAGTTAAATATTACAAAGGAAGCCTCTTGTTTCCTACAGCTTCTACCTTTTGAGCAGCCAACAGCACCAAATCTGTAGTTGGAAGGGGTAATGACAAACACCCTGCACCTGGTGCAGATTGGTCCTACAACCCTTTGGTGTCTATTTAGACATTATATAGGTAAAAGAACTTGTACTTTCAACTTCTACAAAATCGTGATAAAATGAAATAAACAAAGATGAACAGAGAAATGTTTTTCCAATTGATCATGACCATCACATAACATACCCTTTCACAGACATTTCTTATAAACACCAGTGAGTGATTGCATATAATTAAAGCTTCAATACATTTTTACCTGCATTGGTTAGAAAATGTTCTGTAGAAAAAAAAGAAAGGATTTCTGTACATTGTATACCCTCTCTTTACACAGAACAAAAGGGAAGCATTCATAATCAGAAATCCTGCACACTAGCAAATCTTAAAATAATAGAGTTAGTTCCTAAAATGTTATTATTGGGTATCCCTTATTTGGTCTTTCTCAAAATGTCCACTTCCATTCCACAGTCCACATATATACTGCAGTTGGCCCTGACAAAATATTAGATCACCCAAGTAATTAAATCTGTGTATAAGATGTGATGATGGATTAACATTATGGGATGATGCTGTTTATCATCCTCAAGGAATAATCAATTGACTTTGATTTCAGAAAGGCGATATATTAGATTTTTTTTTGATAACATGGCGTGACGTCACACCACAAAGTCTCACAGAGAGCAATTTCAGACAAAAATATCTGGTCATGCCAGTAACATCACGTGCATTTTACTATGCATCTCCAAGCCTCATCATTATTTGCCGATCAGCTGATCGGGTAAATTTTGATTTTATTGCATCACATTCATGTGCAAAATGCGTCAAATATATACCACTATACACAACCAGCAATCCTTTCATCACTTGCTGGTGTGTTACACAACTATATGAGCATTTATTTTTTATCAGCATGATAAAAATGATTATTATACTTCCGTGTCCGATCTAAAATTTGAGACAAGGGGAGGAACGACAGCAGACGGCCTTGTTTGGTAAGCAATACACAAATATCTGTTCATACCTAGAGTGTTTCGACAGCACAAACAAATATGCGGTCGGAATCGATACGGAAAAATCGTGACATGCAATATTACCGTATGTTTCTGACATATTGTCAGCGTAAATGCCAGTGTTTTCGTCCTGGCGAACTTCGCAAAAGATGGCAATCGAAGTCTCGCTCAATTCTCGTCACTATATAGACAAAGAGGTGGAGGACGGTAAAATTATCCGGAACTGTCTACAAAATTCAAAATCAGCATTTTCTTTCTCACAGTGACAATCTACAACAACAACAAAGGAAAAACAATAACAATTGGTGTGTTTTTTTCATATTAATAACCGCTAATTTTCTTCTAACACTCCATCATCATGACTCAAGAGACACATTTCGGAAGCTACGATTTTGCTATATTAAAGAAACATGAACATGAAACATTAGCTCTAAAGACCTATCATAAAGACCAAACATGTGAAAATATCACAGTAGTTATAGAATACAACAGAAACCTTATACGATGAACTGTAAAACTGGTGATGATGATCGCAAATGTTATAAACATCACAAAGAGAATACTAACGTGTTAAAAAATTACACAGAAATTTCTGAAATAATACAAGGAGAAACCGTCAGACTCCAGTCGCTGAAAGCATGGTCAGAGATAACCATTGGTTAGTTTTTTGTTTTTTTGTTTTTTTGTTTTTTTTTTTTTTTTTGGGGGGGGGGGGGGGGGGGTTTGTGGAAACTTGAATTTGTAATATGTTTTGTATTTTAAGATGATTAGTAGTTAATTGTTAAAGACCCGATTGTTTGAGTGGTAAACTGGTTAGTCTATATTGTATGTTACTTTTCAAATATAAATTGTTACGGACGTTGCACATGTTAATGAATTCTTTTAAAATCTTCGTCAGGAAAAAGATTAGTAAATCCGTCTTTACACATTAACGAACAACAGTGGTCCAATCAGGGAAGTCGATATATAAAAGTAAGCTTTGTTTGCAGGTAATTGGCGAACATGGGCAAAAGAGACAATGCTGTCATTTTGACCATATTAAGCAAGAGAATACCAACTTATTGAAATAATATTTCAAACTCGAAATCGATTTCATTTAACCAACTTTCCCTTTGGGATTGTACTGAAATCCAAAACTTCTTACAAAACTTTGAATTTCTACTAGATGCACTGTTCATCCCATTTGCATTTAATAAGGAAACCTTCATTTTTGGGCTTTTTAATCAAAATAGTTGTAGTAGCAAAGTAGATAATACTATCATTCTGTTAATGAAATACTATATATATAGATCAAGATGTTTGCAAACAACACTTTCTGTAACAGCAATGAAAAATCTAATTAAAGATACTTACTTTTCTCAGAGATATTCAGCGATAGGGAAGTGAGACACTTTTGTACATAAACTTAATAATGAGTGGAAAAAATGGGACAGCCTACTTACATCTACATAACCTTGACATTTCCGTCTTGTCAGGAAAAAAGTTACATTGTATCACCTTTATCTTTTATTGTATGTTAATAGATTAAACCATCTCCATGCTTCTGGTAATTTATTTCCACATTCTTTTCTTGCTCTCTTTTTCTCTCTTTCTCCTCCCTTTTCTTGCTATTTTTTTTTAGTTTTACTAGTATCTTCTTTCTTCTCTTTCTGATAACAAACAATGCACTAGTTTTTTTCCCCCCTTAAATGAAATTACAAAATGTATACATGCTAAAGCTAAGTTTGATGAATGAGTGGTATAGTATGCAAGTTATACATGGTAATATCTGTTGTATATTATATTTATGAATTGTTTGAAAATTGGAAAAAAATAAAAAGTAACAAAAAAAAACTTTCCCTTTTTAAAGAAACAATATTAGAATTACTCAATAATCAAGGAAACCCTGCCAATCAATCTAATCTAAAAAAAACAAACAAACAAGCTAATATTGCCTCAGTATAACAACCATCCAAATTAACAATTAATTTTAAACATATAGACATTCCCCGTTTGTATTGGATTCACGGACTTTACAAGAGTCTATTAAAATCAATGCTCTATTGTTGGCTTTATTCTTTATTTAATCAAACTTTTCCGCCCCGAAAAGACGAGGATTAACAAATCATACGCGAAAAGGCCAAACAAATACGCTTATAATCAACTTTAATCTTGGTCTTCTCGGGATGAAAAATCTCCTCTTTTCGTGTTTTTGCTTCGGAAAGACGATAATTAACAAACTTTAATTGTGGTCTTTCGTTGTTTCGCTCCGAAAAGACGACACTTTACAAACATTAATTCTCTTCTCGTCCTTTCGCCCTGAGAAAGAACGAAAATTTAAATGTTTGATTATCGTCTTTTCAAGGCGAAAAGACGCAATGACGAAATGGCACAAATAAGCCACCGTACATCATGCATGGTGTCCGAGTAGGATGGACATTTATCTATGTATCAATGTGGATCCAATGCTTGACAAATTTAGATATCTAATTTAGTAAAGTAGAAATCGTATCATTGATAAGATATCTTAGTTAGATATTTAAGTAAGATATCGCATTGAATAAATCAGTAGACGTCCTTATAAGGGACGATATTCACGTGCGACCGCCGAAAAAAAGAATGTTTTGAATTGAATGTCACCGTTCTTTCGACACATTCGTCTCACCACAGGAAGCTTGGTTTTAGACGGTGATACGAAACAGGAAGAGAGACGACAGAAGAAAGGATGGCAGAGATAGCGGACGCCGCCATCAACGAACTGTCACGTCCGCCACGTACTGATACAGGGCCTCACCGTTAGCGTCTGCCTGTGCGTCGACTTCCGAGTGCTGAGGGAGGGTTTAGAATATCAAATTAATGTCGCGTATTAACGTAAGTTATCTGAATAAGTTTTGTGAATAATGTACCTTGCACGTATTTATTAGGAGAGATATTTTATATGAAAAAACACTTTAATAAGACATCTCATTGTTAGATACGATATCTGATTATCTCTATTTACTAAATTAGATATCTGAGTTAATTTGGTTAAGTGCAAGATCAATATTGCTCCATTAATAAAGGACAACTTGACTTGCCATACATAAGTACGGAAACCGTTGTCATTCAGCGTAAGCGGTGACTTGCTAGAATCTTCCTCTACTTTGAAAAAAAAAGTTAATTCTACAATTTTTTCATTGAATTTAGCTCGCATTACACACCTATAAAAGAAGTCTTTGATATTTTACTCCATATCACGGCATGTTAAGGTAATTAAATATGTGTTTGGAAGCATAGCTGGTCCAACTTGATCTCTGTAGGATGGTCAGAGACTTCTCTATTTACATTCTGATCTTCCAGAGTGTCTGTGGTGAGCTTTTCATTGAGGAAGCCAACTAAATAATCAACGGACCGCCCACAGTTCTTGATTGAATACTCAATACAATAATCATCAACAGTTCTCCATAATATTTTGAAAATATCAACTCATGCTAAAACGGAAGGGGAATTATCGCCATTAGAATTTAAGGGAATTAACTCTTACATACTTTGAGCTGACGAGTCCTAGAAGGACGAAACAGCTGTATGATGCAGTATCGTCCACTGTAAGGCCGAAAGACCGTTATATCGGACGTTAAACCTGTTAAATAAATAAATAGAATGCAATCACTGAATTAAATCTGAATTCCGTTATTGAAAGGTGCTATTAACTTGTGTGTTTCGTGCAGTCCTTGAGATTTTAGGTCCACTTATAGACAATGTCGGCTCAGATCCCGAGGCTGTATAACCGCAGTTTATTCACTATTTTGTATTGAAAGGCCTATACATTTGTGAGTATTTAGTCAATCCCGAGCTGTTAAACATAATTAACCCGAGCACTATGTAAGTCTATGATATTTCTTAAGGAATTCGTGTAGTGAGGAAAGCTGACGACTTACTATAGAACGATCTATTTCAAGTAGGCTAACGTGAAAGTGCATTTCTTAATTTCCCATCATGTTTACTGTGTACAGTCTAATGTTTTTTGAGAAAATAGTTCTTGTAAAATTGAGTAAGTGTCGCAGGGTTTGATGATGGTAACATTTCAAAAGATAGTATTTTACTTGTTCATACCACAATGTATAATGCAATGTTTACATGTGTACTTTTTAAGATAGAAAAAATGACAAAAATTGTTCGGATCACTTTTTTCAATTTTCTTTGATCTAAAAACGCTAATACTTTTGTACATTTTGTCTCTTAATCATCACACAAGATGCTTACGATCTTAAAAGTCTTATGGTTTCATAATAGTTTGGGTTACTTCCCCTTATCCGCATTACTGTAGCCATGATGCAAAAGTAATGGATATTATCGGGATACAGAATACAAATTGGCTGCTTTACAAAATATATGCATCAGATACAGAATACAAATGTTATGATATGAGCCTTGCAATGCAAATGATTTTTTACAATACAATTCAATTAATCAGAGAGAATGAATGAAAAAGGATAAAATACAAAAAACACAATTAGAATCTAAATAGTGAAATATATAATACAAATAAGATTGATATACAATTCGTATAACCATGTAAATAGAAAATAATACAATACAAATGTAAAACATTTTCCATGCCTTAGAAACGCAATTTCCTTTTTTGTATTCAAATGAATATGTACGTAGAATCTATGCGCATGATTAAATCCTGTGTTAGACTATGTTGAAGGCGAAAACCGGTTACTTTAACGTGCAAATTCGTTATTTAACTCGTCAAAACAGAAAATCCATTGCCCACACTACAGAAATCCCGGCTCTCATACAACGGAAACCATGGTAATCATACAACCAAAAAACCTTAGTACCCACACATAAAGAACCACTGTAACTACACAACAAAACACCGATACACACACAACACATACCACGGTACACACACAACAAAACACCGGTACACACACAACACATAACACGGTAGACACACAACAAATACCACTGTACCCACACATAAAGAACCACCGTAACTATACAACAAAACACCGGTACACTACACAACACATACCACGGTACACACACAACAAATACCACGGTACACACACAACACATACCACGGTACACACACAACACATACCACAGTACACACACAACAAAACACCGGTACACACACAACAAATACCA